CCTCCCCCTTCCCCCGAGTCTAGACATAGATTTGGGACTAAATGCTATTTTTTAAAAGGATTTTTACGTCTGAAGTAAGGTAACCGTAGAAAGTAATAGCAGGTTATAAAGTAATACCCAGTAGCAGGTAACTGACTCTCCAGGTCGTGGATTTGACTTAAGCATGTCTTACGCACGGCCCGTACTCTTTAGTTTGAGCTAAAGTATGTGCCTACCTAGATTGCCCACAGTTATTTAGCTGATTTGGCCTGTGACGTGAGTTAGAGGTACTGTTGCATTTTCAGTCTGAAATAGAGAACGCTTTTCAACGAGGCTGTTAAAATTAAATAATACGAATGCCAGCCCCGAACAGGTCTGGATAGGATCACAGGGGTGGAAAACAGGGCAACTGTTCTGAGAACCACAGGGATACACTCCTACCCAAAAAATCGGAATAATTTCCTCTCCTTTTCCACTTTCCCCTTAGCCCCACGTCACCTCCCCAGTTTTTCAGGAAAAACACCTTACCCTAGCTTGCAAAAAGTAATTACTCGTATCATTTCCCATTTCAATTCCCTTTCATTCTGACTTATGCTAGGACCCAGATCCTTGCTAAGTGATATGAATGCGACGCGCCTGCCTGCGCTTGCAGAGCCTTGCGAGTGATTTGTAACTATGGCGATCGAAGCTAGAAGGTTGTGAAGAAAGACGAATCTGCTGCAATAACACCCCTGATAGCTTTGCATACTCTCCATCAGACAAACAGCTATGCTTTTAGGAACGCTGCAAATAACTGGCGAGGAGCTGAGGGAAGCAGAAGTGAAAGGAATTTGCGAATGCTTGAATGACAACAGCATTCGAATTCTGTCCTTGCGTGGTTGTCGCGTTCACGACGATGACTTCAAGAGGTTGATGGAAGGTTTGAAAGAATGTGAATCGTTGGCTCAGCTCAATTTAAACCTGGGAGTCTGTAATGGCAAGCACAGAATCAAATGGCTTTCTGAAGCTTTGGTGGCCAATAAAGGTCTTAATTCGTTGTTGTAAGTATTCACTTCCATTTGTTTTATCACGCTTACTTAAACTTACATACCTTGCATCCGCTTCAATCGAAGTCAATTTTCTAAGTACAGTATATATAACTTTGATTGTCTTATTTGTAATACGTTCTAAGTGTTTCTGTATTTGTGGTAATTAAATAAAGCTAATCAGAAACAAGAGAAATCAAAGCCCAATTTTTGGCAAAACTATGAAATATGGCCC